AGTGCAGCCTTCCAGTGTATCAGCCACTCCTCCCAGTTTTGTGTTGTCAGCAAACTTGCTGATGGTACACTCCATCCCCTTGTCCAGGTCATTGATGAACAAGTTGAACAAGACTGGGCCAAGTACCGAGCCCTGGGGAACTCCACTAGCTACCGGCCTCCATCTGGACTCTGCCCCGCCGATCAGAACCCTCTGAGCCCTGCCATTCAGCCAGTTCCCAATCCACCTCACTGTCCACTCATCCAACCCATACTTCTTGAGCTTCCCTATGAGGGTGTTATGGGAAACAGTGTCAAAAGCCTTGCTGAAGTCAAGGTAGACAACATCCACCACTCTCCCCTCATCTACCCAGCCGGTCATGCCATCATAGAAGGCTATCAGATTGGTCAGGCATGATTTCCCCTTGGTGAATCCATGCTGGGTACACTTTTGAGGCGTGTGGGGGTTTTTTTCCCCCTTCAGCTTTGACGCCTTAACTAGCTAGCAAGCTGAGTGTTAATTTGATTTAGTTCCTCGTAGTTTGGAGCTGCTTTGGTTGTATTTCGTTGTCCGAAGGAAGGCACGTTTGTGGAAACTACCGAAGCTTCTTGTTTGTGGCTTTTAAACTCTCAGGGTGTTTTTCTTCTAGTGTGGTATTACAAGCACAGTTGTAATGGTTCTATCACATCTCTTGGTGTGAGTGAGGAAACACTGGTGTCCATTCACATGAAATTTTGGAGTGTAGTCACTTGCTTATTAGCAGTGCAGGACACTGTTTCTCAAAGGCATGAGCCTTCTGGCTTCTTTGGAGGGATGTTGCTGTACAGCATCCTAGTGTCTGAGAATTGCCACTCACGCTTGATGTTAAATTTTCCTCACTATTTGTGTTTCTGTGTGGGCTGCATTTTTAAATGAAAAATTATTTGCTACAAATAATTCAGCAGCCAGACTGCAATGGAAACCTAATCTTGAACTTGCAAGATGCTAACAAAGGTCTGTCAGTAGACAGACCAGTTAAGAGCACTGAATTTTTAAATGATAATTGCCTGCCTTGCAAAGCCAAACTGAAGAGACCTGTCAGCAGTCATTGGATTTGTAAGTCCCTGTAATCAGGACTCACATGGCACCTTGCCATTGCCTGAATGTAAGGTTTAATTGACAAAAACTCCTTATTGTCATCACAATTCATATACACATCCATGACAGTCAGTAGTCAAGTGTATGGCTGGGGTAACGAGCAGCTGTTTGTTTTGAACAATGGTTGTGTGTGTATTTGCACCTGAAGATGTGTTAGGGAGGCAATTTTAAGACTTGGTATCAACCTCAATGCTGCACATCTTACCTGTCTTTATTGCAACATGAAAAACCAGTTGCAACTGCTCATTGGCACATACTGTGGAATAGCGCTTTGAAAAAGAATAAATGTTTCAGGATGCAGCTGGTACCAGCAGGGTTAAAACAACTTGTGATTGCCATAGGCGCCATATGTGGCGCGCAGAGCTGCACAGATGTAGCTGTCATTTGAGCTCCGTAACACATGTTTTTGTTTGCTAATCTAAGCAGATGTTGCAGGATAAAAAGAAACACTGCAGGACTTTCTTTTGGGCTTAGGAGGGATAAACTGTTAGCTTAACACTCAGCCCTGCCAGTGGATTAGACCGAGATGGGCTGATAGCAAGCTGTATGCGTGAGGCCCTACGTTGTGCTTGTCCTGATGGCACACGTTTACGCAGCTTGCCAGCCGCACGGAAGCGCCAGGCTTTCAATTTGGTCACTTTTCACTAGGAAGCCAGTGAAGAACTCTCCACTAGGAAATCGGACAAAAGAAACGCTGCCTAAGCAACCCACTCTTTTGGTTGAAGAAAAGAAACTTTTAACTAAAAAATCAGATTGCCTTTCCTGTTGCAATTAAATGGTGTGAAGACGTAAATGGTAGGGAATCCAGTTTAATTGTGTCATTATAGGGCCTTTCTCTCAGGTTTCCACTCTGTAGTGACAAAGGATTTCATTCTGCCTCCCAGTTCTGTTGATAAAAAAAAAAATACTGAGAATTTCGAAAAGAAATTAGATTACACAAAATTACTTCAACATAAATGTGGATTTCTATTAAAGAATCCTGTTTTCTGTGCTGTGTATTAGGTAATTTTCATATGAAATAAGCTCGTTAGTCAAGTTGTGCTCTCCTGAGTTAGAGACAAGAAAACCCACGTCTTGCCTGAGACAGAGAAAACACTTGCGTAGGTTTTGTGTTCCCACATTTAAGATGCATCTTCGTAGACAGCATAAGCTGAGGTAAGAAGCCAGCCAATGTAAAGTTGAAATGGTTTGTACTTCCAGCTCTTTGTTAACTTTCACAGTATGTGTACCAAAAACTCCAGGGAGCGTGAGAAACGTTCTTACCACCTTGTGCTAGAAATACAGTTTGCATTGGAATGGAGGCTAAATTTTGCTCAGAACTGAGTTTTCTTTGGAAGGCTAAATTGAGGTAGCAGTGTTTATTTGTAAAGTGCATGACTCTGTAAAGACTCTGAAGATAGAGAACAATCTGAATCTAGTTAGTACTGTTTGAAGCAAGGTTTTGCAATGAACCTTTCACTTCATATTTACATCAGCTTGTGTGTGCGTGTGTTAGTGGTGGTGTAGTTTTTAAAGCTAGGAAGCAAAAGTTGCATCACTGATTAATGTTTGATTTTAATGCCAATGTTTTCCCTTTATGGTCTGTGTCTCCTGAGAACCAGAAGTTACTATCTTGAGTGGTAAATTAATACAATACAACCTACAAAGAGGGAGGCTGCAAAAGAAGTTAGCAGAGGTGTTTGCTATGTTTAATCTTTGGCACTTGTGCAAAACAATGTTGCTGAAGCAATCTGACATTATAAATTAGTTTCTCTCTTCTGGTTATCAAAATGTTCAAGCAAGGGGCATGTTTATCGTGATGCCAAGCCGGCTGTGTAATGCTTAGTGCCATACTGCTTCCAGGCTTAAGCACCATTGCACTGTTTCACACACACAACTCTTCCCGTTTCCTGTGTTGGATTTAGGTAGGATAAGGTGTGTAGTTGTGGCTTCTTCCCCAAGAAAAGCCAGGCAAGTGCTAGAGGGTTGACCAAGGACCTTAAACAGTTTCAGGGATTGTCAATTAAAACAAAATAACTCAAGGACACTACTAGTTGGGTTTCACTTAAGCAAGCTTAAGAAATGGGTCAAAGTGAAATTGATGTTGCATAGACTGAAATGCAGTTATGGCACAGAGTGTCTTGAGTAGGACTGGGGAGAGCTGCTGTTCCTGACGGCACTTGGAGAACACTGAGTAAAGGAGGGCAGTCTAGATAAATACCATCTGAAACGTAGCTGGTAGTGTCTGAAACAGTGATAGATGCACCTTAGGAGGTACTCTTAGTGTACAAACACTGCTTTGGTGCTTTAACTCCAAGGAATTGTTTTCTCCAAGGAAGCAGGTAGATTTGCTAGAGGTTCCAGACACTTAGTCGAAAGCTATCCAGTAGTGAATAATCCTGAGCAGGTCTGCAAACAAAAATGGATGTAAACAATTTGGTCTTCTCTGTTTGACTTCAGGATGCAAAGCCTCTTTTTAAAAAGAGGGATGTAACTACTTGTTTGGAATATCACACAACTCAAGCCAAAGCTGCTGCATGAACTCATTCCTTATTATTTAATCTCTGGACAGTTGAAGTGATCCTGGCTCCGAATTGGTGTGTTGTATACACTACAGTCTTTGGCTAGCCTGAATCTTTTTTTTTTCCAAAGTTTTTATATGTCTGCAGAAGTTTTCTTAGGTTAAGTATTGTAGTACTTAAAAAATTCAAGACAAAGCCTAGTGTTAATGAAAATATGTTAAAATATTTTCCTTCTCCACTCTCCGCTAAAAAGAGAAACTGGAGTAAGTACAAACAGTTTCACGTTCACAGACTTTTATTGGTGGCAACAGACTAGACATATAATAAATGATCTTTACAGAAAGCAATTAGGTCAACATGGAGACAGCCCAAAATGTTAATGTACTGTTACGTGTTTTCTTAGTCTTTGTCACCAGACTGCAGTACCGTGAAGAAGAATGACTTCTTCAAACAGCCCATAGCCAATTTTTCTTGCGGATGCCAAGGCCCTAGAGCAACATATTGTCTGTGTGCAGGTATATACAGGGAGAGAGTCGGAAAGCTATGGTTAAGGTTCTTTAAGCAGCCAGACTTTAACCAGAGCACACTATCTGACTTTGTTAATGGTACTATTCTGTAACTTGTTCATTTTTCCCTGGACTGATACTTCTAGTATAGTCTTCATCTTTTTTCTTTAGCTTTCATGCTTGAATAGGTACAGGTTACTCCAATGTATGTGTTGGTAGCTGCTGGAGGATATTCAGGTCTGTGTAAGATAGAGCATTCAGTTCTCTTTCAATGTAAACATCATTAAGGCACATCTTCTTGTAGCTTAGTAATGTGATGGAAGTCTTCTGTTTTTGATAAAAACAGAATTGCTGTTGCTGATCTGCTAGGGAAAGGAAATCAACAGAGTAGTGTTTAAACTTAGGATTTAAAGTAGTTTTGTATAGCTCTGCAGTATCGATCATCGTTATCCTTGTCAGCAGCAAGATGCTTTCAGTCTAGGTTGTCCCACTCAGTGCAAACCACAAAATGAGTAAGTGGTAAAAGATGATAGACTGTTCCTGCTTGGGAAAAAAGTCAGAGTCATCAAGACTGTTGGAGTACGGGGAGGAATTACTTTGAACTGTCCTGGTCTGGTCTTGCAGATTGAATGCCTGCTAGTGGTTGGAGTGAATTATGCACCCTTCTGTACGATATTTGCTGGTTTAGCTTCATCCAGAAGGAATCCAGTTTGTGTGCTCTATCAGAGACTGTTCTGTGATGTGAACCAGAGCATATTAAGAAGGACAATCAGGAAATGTGCATCAGTGTCACACTCCTGATCTGAATTAAAATGCTAGTATAGATGCACCCAGAGGCTGCATTTAAACTCCCATGTAAGTGCTTGATATGCGTAGAATGTGCAATCTAAGGTTAGCAACAATATTCAAAATCTATATAGCAGAGCTGGAAAAGGTATAGGAACAGGTGTAATCAGTGTGGAAATGGCTTCCATACAGGACAGGCTAAAAAACCATAGGACTTACCAGTTAAGAAAACAGGTGACTGATTATAGTCTATAACATGTTGTATGGTAAAGTGAAGGTGAAAGACATTTTTACTACTTTGCAGACCTGTAGATATATATTTTCTGTGTTTGTCATTTGATTGATCAAATCAAACTGCTGCTTGAGCATACTTTTTTGTCTCCCCTGCACATAGAAGATTGAGAATGCAGGAGAAAAGAGAGACAGCACAGAACCTGTTTTTTCACTATTCATGAGCTCTAACTCTTGGACGTTACATACTGTGATTCCTTGTTGCCTCTGTGCTGAACACTTCAGCTCACTCAAAGCAGAGTGCGGGAAGCTATCTATGCAGACTTCAACAAAGTAGAGGAGCCAAAACTATGCATGAAATAGAGGCAGTTTGAACTTGTGGATCATTAACAGGCCTCTGTATTGTCTGTCCAGGTCAATGTCTTGAGAAGGCAGCAGCGCATGATCAAAAACCGTGAGTCAGCCTTTCAGTCACGGAAGAAAAAGAAAGAATACATGTTGGGACTGGAGGCGAGGCTGGAGGCAGCCTTATTGGAGAATGAGAAACTCAAGAAAGAAAACAGCACACTGAAGAGGCAGCTGGATGAAGTGGTATTAGAGGTAAGAGATTGTGGTGAAGATCTGACTTTATTATAAAAGGACAGTTGCTCAGGTGGAAGGCACTTGAACAGAATCATGGAGATTTTGACTGGAAGACATTTGGGTGTTTCTAGCCCAATCTCCCACTCCAAGCAGGACTTTCACCAACTCTAGGTCAGGACAGCTGTTGCATTATCTATTTGACTTTTAATTCCTTGTTTATGGTACTCCTGAAGATTTCACTGAGAAGATAGACTGGATAGAAGCTAAATATAATGTACAAACGAAAGAGTTTTAAGTAGCCCTGGGGTGTATTCATATATAATTAGGCAAGTATAACTCTAAAAAGGAAGCATAATTTGGTTTATTTAGGTTCTGACATAACTTTGCATGTCTGTGCCCCTTTTTTATTGTGTGTCTTCTCTGTTTTTTCCTGTCTAGAATGAGAAGCTCAAAGTATCATCTCCAAAGAGAAGGACCCTGTGTGTGATGGTGATACTGGCTTTCATAATGTTGAATTATGGTCCACTGAGGTAAGTTGCCTCTCTGCATAGTGAGTTTGCTGTCCTGCGATTTTTGTTTGAATCTTTAATACAGGCTGTGTTGTGTTTTTTTTTTCCAAAGCCTTGAACTTGAAACCTGACTTCTGTCCTTTACTCTCCTGTGTAGGGGAAGACTTACCTGTGTAATGGTTCCTCTTTTGGAATCCTTCTGGCAACAAGAGATGGATCTTGTACTTTTAATTACTCTTGGCTTGGCATTTTGTTAATTGATGCGGCGTACAACAGTTTGTCTGCTCCATTTATACCTGAAGAGATTCAAGAGCTGTATTTAGAATCCTTTTAGAAAAAGTCACAGACTGCATGTTTATACCTGTGCTAATCTCAATAGCTATCAGCTCAAGCTGCTTCTAGTACCCAGTGCAGGCAATTCCCCTGTATTACTTGTCTTCTAGATCTGGTGAAGAGGTTGTTCCCACTCCTTAATTAGTTGAAGTGGTAATCAAAAATCTTTTATGTTCAAACTGTATCAGTGGGGCATAGGAACCAGAGAGCAGGAAGGAAATGCTGCATTACTTCCCAGACACTTCGTAAAGAAATCTGTGGAAGAGAGGAGACTGAAAAAGGGATGCTTCTTGCACATATCTGTCTACTTAACCTGGCTTAGGAACATAAGGACCTTTTATATGAAGCTGTTTGCTTTTTCAAAAGGGGAGGATATTTCACTAGATTCCCAGTCAGCAGTGTCTCCATTTCTCCTCAAAACCCCGGTAAAACTAAAGGAATGGGATGGGATAAATCTGGAGGAAGACTTTGTTTCTTACTATGATAAACTTTTACAATGCTGGTGTTTGTATTTTTAATAATTTTAGAAAATTTGCTAAAGCTGAAATTACTTTTGAAGTATTTGCATTTATTGCAAATACCGTTTATCTCAGGCAGTGAAACACAGCTGATAATTTTACTTTGATATGGGTGATTTTAAGGTAGACCATTTCTTAGTGCATTTAGGGTTTGTACTGGGATTTTTGACTATCAGGCAGAAAAATCAGTTTCTAGATACTAAGCGATTTATTTGAACATCCCATCTGCATTTGCAAACATTACCACTCACTCAAGAGACACTGTTCTTACTTGGTGAGAACTAATAGGACCAGTAACCTTTTTGAAGCTGGAAGAAATTTTTAGTTGCCTCCACATTACAGTGGGGAGTTGGAATGCATGAAGCTCTTGTTAGTTTTGAGAGGCTTGGAAACCTATAGAAGATGAGTGGGAAGTCTCTGAAGTTGCTGTGTTAGCTTCTCTACCCCCCAGGAATAAGGTATTGAGCTTGATTGCAAGAAACTGCTGTCAAAGTAGACTGAAAGGTCAGTTTGTGTTTATATCTTTGCAATAATCAGTAGCTATAGAAATGTGACAGGGTTAATTTCTTGGCCTGTTTGATGTTTAATAACGTAGATAAAGCAAAAAGAATTTCTTGGATGTCTGGCTGAGCATGCCAGTGTAATCGTTGTCCCTGAACTAGGTGGTCTGCATCAGTACTGGATTTAGACAGTGAGGAAAAATGTACTTGCAAATTTGCGAGGAATTACTCTTATCTCTCTGCTTTTTTTTTTTCTTTACCTTTTTGCACTGCAATTAAAATACTAGACTGTATTAAGGTGATGTGAATGTTGATTGGGCAATACCCTTTGGAAGGCCCAGAATGTGGGTTATACAAACCATTACTTAAGATTTCACTCCTCCCATGTGCATTTTCTTCCTTTTATAGAGGTGCCACTGAATGGTAGCTCCATGAACATGAGGGTCGCAATTGCTCTTCTGATTAGTCCTTAACAACAGAAGTTTCCAATACACATGATGTTTTTCAGTCCCTGCAACTTCTTACAGAAATAAGGCATTTGGGGCGGTTTTGTTTTGAGTTTTGTTTTTTTTTTTTTTTTTTGTTAAAATATCCATGCTAGCTTATAGTTTAGCAGAAATACTTTTTTTCCCCCTAGTTGGCTCTCTGTGGAATACCTGATTTCTATGCAGTGGTCAACTGGGGATAAATCTGATCTAAAACTTCATGGTAGTGTTGCCATTTCTCCTATGTGGGAAATCACTTCACTTGCACATCTGTATGGAGGTCTGACAGCATTCAGGCACAGGATGTTTTGATTCAAACATATTAGCAGTGAATATTTTATTGTTTAAAACCAGTGAACCATTGCAAAGAGAGAGTGACATCCAAAAGCAAAAATTCTGTAGCAAGCTTTGAAATTCCTTTAGCTGGCCTTATTGTAAGATGCTTCTCAGCTTCTTAATCGGAAGTGATAGGATTCTTTGAAGGCTGGAGGTAAAATAAAAGAACAGATATATAGGTTTTCTCTTTAGCTGCCTATTTCCGTCAAATCAGAGAAGTCAGGGAAGTGGTCAGGTTGTCTGGGGACAGGGATGTGAAGCTGAAGGGCAGGCAGTCCTGCAGACCCTCCATGGCATGCAGCAGGTCAGTAGAGGTGCCATGCAGTGTTTGGGCACTTGGCATCCCACAGAAAAAGGTCTGACTGGTTGGCTGTGTAGTTAGTTCTATGTTTTCTTCTACGTTAGTGGATTTGTGTTGTACTAGCCCTGGTTCACACATAATTTTGTTTATTGGTCTTAAGTCTTGTTGACTGTGTAAGTGGCAAGATGTTTGTGGAAGACTGCTGCTGGGGTGCATTGAGAGGAGTGTGGCCAGCAGGTCGAGGGAGGTTATCCTCCCACTCTACTCTGCCCTAGTGAGACCCCACCTGGAGTACCGTGTCCAGTTCTGGGCTCCCCAGTTCAAGAAAGATGAGGAACTCCTAGAGAGAGTCCAGAGCAGAGCAACTAGGATGATAAAGGGACTGGAGCATCTCCCCTATGAGGAAAGGCTGAGAGAGTTGGGCTTGTTCAGCCTGAAGAAGAGAAGACTGAGAGGGGACCTCATCAACACATACAAATATCTTAAGGGTGGAAGTCACAAGGACGGAGCCAGACTCTTTGCAGTGCTGCTCAGTGACAGGACAAGGGGCAATGGGCACAAACTGAAGCATAAGAGGTTTCAGTTGAATATGAGGAAAAACTTCTTTACTTTGAGGGTGACAGAGCACTGGAACAGGCTGCCCAGGGAGGTTGTGGAGTCTCCTTCTCTGGAGGTATTCAGAGCTCGCCTGGACGAAGTCCTGTGTAACATGCTCTAGGAGAACCTGCTTTAGCAGGGGGGTTGGACTGGATGATCTCCTGAGGTCCTTTCCAACCCTTGCGATTCTGTGATTCTGTGTGACTCTGAGGATGTGCTGTTCTGAGATTGAGACACAGTCCAGGATGTGACAGCCCTTGGCAAACAAGTTTAGCAGATAAAATTATTCTCCTGACACATTTTTTCATGCTGACAAATATACTATGTGTGTGGGTAATCTGTAGCATCGAACATTGGCGTGGGGCTGAGAGTCTGGCAGGGAAACTGGCATATTGACCCAAGAAATCTGTTTGAAGATATTGGAGGGAGAGTCTAGTCCAGTCTGTTTAACTGCCAACAAGCTTTTCAGAACATCCTTCAGTCTTGGAAATGGCAATGTTATCTCTGATAAAAAAAAAATTTAAGTCAAATTAAATATAAGTTCAGTTCACATTTCTATTCAACTTCTTTGTTGTGATAGTGGCTTGTATAGAGTTGATGGTAACTGTGCAATATACTGTACTGTGTTACTAAACACTTTTGGGGTTGTTGGTATTTGTATAGAAAACTGAAACTTTCTTTTATTAAAAGCAGAAGCGATTTAGCAGGAATTCTATTAGTGTAAGTTTCTATTTCATCTATTTGCTTTACATTAGAAGAAAGGCATTCAGGAATTTCCCATCTGTGTGTCAATGAACTATTCTCTAATCCTTGTGAACTATTTGGATTTAACATCTATAAAAATTTCCTTTTATTATTATTTAAGAATGATTGGTGAGGTGTATGAAGGGGAAAAAGGGTACATTTTGATTTAATTCCTTGAAGAGGTCACCCCCTTCCCCAGTCTTACATACCATGAAGTGCAAGACAGGAATTGGCAACCCACAGTGTTTGCACAAAAGACAGTGAGCACCCAAACCTTGGCATGCAGCAGTGTTGGGAGCAGGTATCTGTGGGAGGCAGCGTCTCCTGCCTTCACACTCGCCTTCTGTGAGAGCCAGTGTCAGCGCAGCTGCATTCTCAGCTGGCATGGCAACCCTGAAAGGTTTCTGACTTCTGGTGTTAGGAAACATCTAAGTAGCTTTGCATTTTTTTTTTTTATCACCCACAACATGAAATCTGAAAACTTTCAGACTGTTACAATTCCTAGATGCCTTTTTTTGTTGTTGTTTAATTTCCATATTTGTGTTACTGTGCCTGGATACTAACCAGATCTGAAAAGTGTTAAATGAGCACAAACAATGTTGAAACAAATGGAAACCAAGCACATGTTCTAGTCTAAACAATCCGTGTATTTATTTTGAGAATCTTTTTCTTATGTTTCTCTTCCCTGTTCCCATTTGAATATAAATAGTCTTACATGTTTGTTTGGTTGGTTTTTTTTAATGCAAGTCCTACATGTGATAGTGACATATTTGCAGGTAACTAACCCAGCTAATGTATAAAAAGTAGGGAAGAGGGAAGGATCACAGAAGATGCAAAAGGTAAATTTCTGGCATCTCTGCTTGGGGCAGTAGCAGCAAAGCCTGTAAGCCAGGTACTTGCTAGTGGCCCTAGCATTATTTTCTTGGCTATGAAAAATGTTCAGCTGGTTATTTTTTTCCTCCTAATCAGTCTGCTCAAGCTCACATGGTGGTCATCATCTAACAACAGTCTTAAAGCATTTGTAAAGATGTCAGCTGGCCAGAATGTCTCCTAACTACCATTTCAGATATTTAGTAGACAGAAAACAAAGAAAAATATGAAGTTGAAGAGAGGAAAGGCAGATCTGTGAAGAGATTGGAATGGGGGGTTGAGAAGGTGCTGTGATTTTTTTTTTTTTTTTTAAAATTTTGTTTCTGCCTACAAGTTG